GAGGACTCATGACTGGAGCTTCAGGACCGAACTGGACCGTCCGTATGCCCTTCTGCGATCAGGATAGAGGGAGAGGTGAATGTACCTCCCACGCGATACCGGCGAGCAATGCAGTATCGCCTAAACAATGAGTTTTCTTTTGAAGCTTATCGCAGGTGTTCGGCGGAGGTTCCATGAGTTTCGCACACGCAGTCAGTGCAGGAACTTTTATTCAGGAGGCACCCGTGTAGCCTGGAACGTGCTCAGACTAGGCATGCATGAGCTTCAGAAGGATGACCTTTTCGTCGGATCAGCAGTATCAAATTCATTTCCTCCTCCCACATTCGTCATGTCCCAAGTTCAAGAAGCCTTGGCACAGAGACCGAGTAAGCATCTATCCCGTATGAAAGTGCTACGCGTACTGCCCTCTTATTCCACACGAATCAGGCTTGATTTACTTGAATATTACATCGGTCGAATAAGCCATAAGGCACAGTAGAAAGGAGCCACTCTAGCCTGGCTCGAAGTTTCGAGGACCGAATGATTGCGTTAATTGGCAACTTTTCACGTCAATCATTTTGAGGCCACGTACAGTTACAGAGCAGCACACCCACGTAGAGTACAATGTCCCATCCTTTTGAAGTATGATTTAGATAGAACGATCGCACCAGGTCCATGCATGCCCCATCTTACATAGAGGTGACAGGAAGTCATCAAGTCTGAAGGGAGGCTGCGAGACTGTGGGTCATTCAGTAAGAGCGTCTGTGCCGCAACCCCAGCTCCAAGTAAAAAGACTTTGATTATGTTGTATAAAAATCGTGGAAAAGACCACGCCAAGCATACTGGCAAATAAAATCAGCTTTCTTCCCTAACACCTGGCACGAAACATTTAAAATACAAGGCAGGTGGACCGATAGCCGGTCAAATGTGACAAATTAACTGTTATCTAACGACAAGTAAAGTATTCGATTTAAATTCCTTGGCTCTTTTTCAAATATGTACACATCAATGAAAATGTCCGGAAAAGACAAGAAGTAAATGGATTGTTGGAAGGGCAGGAACCTGATCATAAATGTGTGTTTTATGCAGTCTAGTACAGCCATTTCGCCGGCACCCATTGGGGCTCCGTCAGCAAGCTGTCTAGATGTCTCTTAATTGCATCAAAAGTCACTTCGATGTTATCACAGATGAATATTTTGTCAAAAAGGTGGCGATAGTCCCGCTCAATCTCACGACTTTGGTCCAACGTGCGCCGGAAGTCCTCGTCCTGAGAAATAATATTTGTTAAAATATGCTTACTTTTGCTGTGTAAGTAGATTTTATTTAACAATAACAATCAACACTTACGCGTTTCCAGGCTTCGCAGAAGCCCATACTCCGTCCGTATTCATACATGGCTTTCATGCAGCTGACCGATGGTGCTGCTAGGAAGACCACATAGGGCATAAATTCGGCCGTCCGTATAAGCTGAATGGCTGAGGGGTTACAATCGAGAAGGCAGGTCTTTCCCGAGTGTACGATTCGGCGGATAGTTTTCAGCTTCGTCCCAAAAAAATGTCCCTCGAATTCCCCGAACTGTTTGCAAAAAAGTGACAAATCCTGTTACAGATTGAAGACTAGTACGGTGGTTAAAAGCATGAAATCGAGTCTCGTCTTTTTCAAACGCTTAACGAAAAATATCAGGAAGGTTCAGCCACCTAGTGGGGACTTATCCGTTGTTATAAACCTAGCAAGAAGTAAGTTTTTGCTATGGAATCACATAGTGGCTATGCCAGCGAACAAAGCCTCTGTGAGATGTGTGACTTCATGTTTGAGGTCATTCGTAAAAAGCTAAAGAAAAGGTGCGGATAGGAGAGTGTATGTGGTGAGCTTGCTGGTTATGGCAGGAGTGCACAACGCATGGGTCGGTGGCCTGGATCCTGTGACTTCAAAAGACTAATAAACTGGCTGCCCGCGAGTCTCGCCCAGAGGTGAACATTTCACCCTACCTCCAAAGTAGACCACAGTGTGTTTCAGAGGTTGCTCCTCCCGGCAACACTGGTCATCGGGAGGTAGAACCAGACCGGACTGTCCAAAACCTAGTGAGGTCGTGGCCTGCTGGACAGCAGTTTCGTGCAGCGGCTTGATTCACAAATCATCTTGCACAGCCCCTGGATTTGAAGGCAGAAGTCTCCAGCAACCCTTCCAGTACACCGAATTATGGTCTCAATGTTGAACGACGCTGTTGGTGAGATTGCGTTTCGCTCTGGTTATCTCAGTTAAGTTCTATTTACAGCTCGAAATTGCATTTAACACTTATCTCAGGATTCAAGAGCTCCGGTACATACTGCGAGTTCGTCATCAGGTCAGGTTAGAAAGCATTTTTGAGACGCGGCAATCTTAGGGTGTCAGGTGGGAGGGCGGATTACTTACCTCGATGAAGCCGTTTTTCTTGTAGGTATTCTGCATTCTCGCGGCACTTTCAAAAAAGAATTCGTCGCCTTCCTCCTCGTCAGGGAATTTCGGTCTCGAGGTGTCTGCAGGGATGGAAATAAAAACATGAGAACTGTTGTGCAACGGGGGATTCGCTGCGAATTTACTCGAGAACGGGAATCCGAAAGCTGGCACCGCCGTTAAAGCAATTTTCGTGGGGGAAGAACTCAAAAAGCTAACTTCGCTAAGATCGTGCCCGCGAACCAAAAACTTGGACGTCTTGACCTGTCTCCAGAAGTCTGCGTGTTGATCGAAAACACCCTATGCTCCTGAACCCAGCGCCGCCCTTCATTTTCGTTTCTGCCCATCATACTTAGGCTTAGGCAGGGCATCGCGGATCCCTGAAGTAGAACTAGTATGTGAGGTTGTTGTGCTAAGTGAACGAAACCTTGACCTATTTGCAAATGGTACACGCGTCAATCGGGAGCGCATGTATTTATCCTAGCACAAAAAACAGGGGAAAAGATAAACGTACAATCCCATGAAATTTTAACCGAAATTCTGAGATGCACTTTCGATAAGGAAGGACTAAGTAAGTGTAGCTGCAATAGCAATTATCGTCCGGCATAATCTCAAGATATTTCAGTCACGCCGGGATGCCGGCTTTTGCATTAGCTTCTTTGTAGACATCTGAAAAAAATCGTACTCGGCAAAAAATGAATACATATGTAGTAAGCATTTTCATTATTGATTTCCGACGCACTTATAAACTCAACTATATTTTATAGAAAACATACACAAAATACCTATTTCTGTACTCATTTTGTAGACAATCACATCTTCTTCAAAGTTTTTACTGGAGGAAGACGTAGTTTTCGATTTTATGAAGTCTGTAATTAGGATATTTTTTTAAGACCATGCAATATCCATTCACAGAGCATTATGTCTGTCCATTTATCAATACCCCTTATTAAGTCTACAACATAGTTCACGCCCATTGCAAAAGTTTACGACCCCTATGTGATTTCTTCTTAATGACATAGAGGATTGCCCGATTATCTTTACAGAGCAAGTATACGGCTTTTAGACTGAAAACGCTAAACGCGAATGCAACGGAATATCGGGCTCACAATTTTCCGGAAATTGGAAAACTTTTTTAAAACCTTATTATATCCTTCCTTCAAGTATGACTTTATAAGAAAACGTGATTTGCTAACAAATAAGTAGAGGAAAATATTTTTTGTGCATGTTTTCTGTAAAATATGTTTGAATTTGTAAGGCATCGAAAATACATCGGAAAATCATACCAACTAAGTAGTTGCCGGCGGCTGCTAAGAAGTATCCTTAAAAGCTGACATACCGTCGTGATTGAAATATCAATGGATTATGCTGCATGCTAATCAATATTACAATCCCCCCTAAGTAATCCATCTAAATCGAAAAAGCATTTCAAAATTTCGGCTAACTTCTCATGAGGTCGGTCACTGAGTGGATGTTGGAAGTGCACTCACAGATCCGGTTAAGAGACCTGCACGCCCCGTGGTGCCTTGGGCCTCAATATAGAGCCCTCGCAGACGGCCACACAGCAATCTTGTGCTATCTTGTGGAAAATACTACTTAAGTAGGGTCGTAATTTTAACTGTCGCGCAGCATAATACCAAGATATATCAGGCACATCAAGGTGCCGGCGTTTGAACGAGCTTTTTCCCCGCCGCCGACAAAAACGACACTACAGAAAATGATTACTTAGTTAGTATGACTTTTTTCCAATGATTTTAGATGCGATTAAAACTTCTAATATATTTAATGGGAAACGTGCACAAAAAATATTCCTCCTCCTGCTCATTCGGCAGCAAGTGACGTTTTCTTCAAGGACTATACTTGAAGATAGGGTATTTTTCGGTTTTAAAAAAGTTTCTAGGTAGTCGACTCTTTCAAGGCTGTAAAGTGTCAGTTCATAAAACATCGTGTCTGCACATTTATTATTTATTCCGCTTATAAAGTATGTACTATGGCACTACACCCATTACAAGATTGTATGAGTCTTAAAGAAATTTATTATTTTCCTTACATGGAAAATATATGGTTTGTGGTTTGGAAACTCTTAATGCAATTTTAACGGCAGGTTGAATTTAAAATTACTCAGTGATCGAAAGCGTTTTTTAAAACCGGACAAAATCATTTCTCCGATATCACATTGAATAAGAGCGTAATTTGCTATCAGACGAGTACAGGACAGAATATTTTTGTGCATGTTTCCCGCAAAACGTTCTTGAATTTATGAAAACATTGAAAATCAATGGGGAAAATTCACAAAATTTAAGCTGTCATTTTCTACAGGGTGTTGTTTTTGCAGGCGGCCGGGAAGAAGCTCGTTCAAAAGTTGGCACCTTGACGTAAATAAAATAGCATGGGATTTTGCTGCAAGACAAGTAATATCATAGTCCTGCTCGAGTAATCTTTTCGAACCGAAAACACATTTCAGAACTTCGGTTAACACTTGGTGAGATAAGCAGGAAAATGTCGACAAAGATAAAGGAAACTGGGTGGAGAGGACAACGGGTACATGGCTCAATGGTAGGACTGTGAACTCAACGGCGACCGATGACCAGGGAACGCAATTTCGATGCTCAGGTCCCACAAACTCGGATTTGGGCAGGACTGGCTGACGACGGCTAATAAGCCAGAAATGGCCATCCCGCTCTCCTTTTCCTTTGTCGGCATATCTGCATTTACTGTTAGTCGTTATGCCGCTGCCTGTAAGGATTTCAGATTAAGCCCCAAGACCCAACGGAGCGGGCACGTCCTGTAACCCGACTGGTGAGAGTCTCTCTACCATAGTCAGTGTACACGATCACAACCGACAGAAGGAGTCCGTGACTCGATGATTAGTGCGTTGGACCGATAAGCGCTTAATAACCAAAATAACGCAGGTTCACGCCTTGGTGGGGTGGGTATGGCTGGATGACGCCGGTTAATAAGTCAGAAATGGCCGTGTCTTTCCCAGTACTACCTTACCTACGTATATATATATATATATATATATATATATGTATATGTATATATACATATATAGGCAGAATAGTATTACCGACAAAGACAAGGGAGACTGGAATGGCTATTTCTGGCTTATTAGCCGTCGTCAGCCAGCCATACCCAAGCCCGAAGTGTGGAACACCCGAGCCTCGAACTCGCGACCTGTTGGTTTAGAAGTCAACGCCTCTACTCACCGGGTCACGAGCCCGTTGCCCTGTCGGTTTTCGATCGGGAATATACAATGGTCGGGGGCGCTCACCGATCGTTCATACGGAACTCACTGGGTATGGCTGGCTGACGACGGCTAATAAGCCAGAAATGGCCATTCCAGTCTCCCTTGTCTTTGTCGGTAATACTATTCTGCCTATATATCATGCGCCACTGTGCGGCTGCTGGTTGGGCTCGAGAGAGAGCCCTTAAGGCACAACGGAACGAGTGAGTTCCGTATGAACGATCGGTGAGCGCCCCCGACCATTATATATACATATATATGGAATGGAAACGGGCACCCGAGAAATTTAACTAGAAGGATGGAATCCTTTGGGAAACAGTAAACTTTATTGCGTAAATTTTCGAACCTGGTTCCCAAACACGTCATCAGACTATGGGAGTGCAAAAACAATTCACTTCTAAACTGAGTCTGGCAAAGGATTCTATGATTGACTAAAGTCTGAGCCAATGCGTGTGCATTGCAATGCGTCATCTCCTCGGGATTGGTTGAGCCACTTTGAATTTGTCTTTAACGATTTTGTACGTGGCACCTAAATCGATATGCCGATTGATGCATGCCTCATCAGAGTGCACTGCCTCCAGGAATTTGCGGTCTTTCCTAATTGGGCAAATGCCAATAATGCGAGTCTCCTCCCATGCAAATTTTTGTCCAGTGTGCATGGCCACCTGGGATATATAGTCGTCTCTTCACCGCTGACTGATGTTCATGTATACGGGCTGAAAAAGATTGCCCAGTTTGGCCACAATAGACGGCATCACAACTGGAACATGGGATTTTATAGACAACATCTTTTTTTCGAGGTACCCATCCCTGTCCTTAGGGTGTACAAGCTGTGTGCGTAAAGTAGTTGCCGGCTGGTGTGCTACGTATATCTGGTGTTTTTTTAGTTGTCTTTCGATTAGTTCAGATACATTTTTCACGTGTGGGAGAATTCCTCAGGTGGTTGGTTTCGGTGCTCGAGCGGCCGTAGCGCTAAAAATACCTTTTCCCTTGAATTGGTGGTGCCTCATGTATTGACCTATAAAGTCATGTGGGTGCCCATTTTGGGAGAATAGTTTGCAGAGATATTTCATTTCTGATTGATAACTTGTTTCATCAGAACAATGAGTTTTGGCCCGATTCAGAAGGCTGTAGACTGTACTCCGTTTGTGAGAGACAGGATGGTTACTCTCAAAATTTAGGATGACCTCTGAATATGCCTTTCTGCAATAAACTGATGTGAAGTGATCCATCGGTTTTTCGACTTACAAGGACATCCAGGAATGGGAGTTATACATCAACCTCTGTTTCGAAAGTCAACTTGAGTCCTGGAAATATAGAGTTGACACTGGTATGAAGCAGCTTTAACTGATTTTTCTTGACGAAAACAAGTGTCATCTACATATCGCAGCCTTTACAAATAGGTATTTCTAAGCAACGCCTGATTACCTTTGACATTTTTTATGCTTTTAATTCTGTTAATGTTGTTATTTATTAAAATAGATATTGGCTCCATGTATTGGTGTCGATTTGCGAGTTATCTGCAATCATTCGTAAATTTCAACGTCTTTCATGAGTCAGGTGGCCTACTGTGTACTAGAGAGTATGTCAATGATTGAGTTACAAGGAGGTTGTTTCAAGGCAGAGCGCCTAAAAATCTTTGTTTATAGTGAAAAAGGGAAGAGGTTCTTCGGGAAAGTTAGTGCCACCAACCCGTCGTTAGACGAAATGAAAGGTTAAAGGAGAAATTGAGACAGTCACAGCAGACAGGAAAGACATTGACGGACAGACCATTAGCGTGTGAGAGGGACGATGTGGGCACACGGTCACGGTGGGTTCTGAGCCGGGAGCCCTTGGCGAGATGCCCTTCGAGAACTCCCAAAACCGAGTGTACTTTTGAAGGCGTGAGTGCGGTAACAGATCCGGCGCACAAACGGAAGTGGACCCAAAACACTGTTTCTTGCATCGAACTACCAAAGCAGAAGAGGACGACACATGAAACGGTCGACGCAAACCAAAAAGGCGGGTTTGTCACAATAGCTTAAGCCATAGAGGAACCCTATCCAATACAACCTTCAGGCTCGATCCCCAATAGAAAGAGAAGGACTCGGGGAGAGTTGGCAGCGGGAGGAGAGCACGTCCAGGGCGGGGAGAGCGACTTCCCGGGTGTGAACGTGGTATGCGTCACAGCGTCTTAGGCGAAGGCATGTCTGATTGGTCAAGTGGAAAGCTGCGAGCGGGCGACAACCGGGCTGTTGCCGCTGGTGGTGCGTACCTGCAGGTACTCGCGAGAGGCGCAGCGCTGCAACAGGCGCCCAAAGTAGGACCACTACAAGTGAAGTGTGGTGACTGAACAGTAGACTCGAATGCCCGAACAGGGAACTCGACAGTCTACACTGCGCGTTCAGATGTCCCATGGCAGTCTGGAAGGTAAGGCTGTCGAATTCAACATCTTCAGCGAGCAATCAGCGAAAGTGGCCATCCACGCAACTTCGCCAGTTGGTGCACATAAAAACGAGTCGGTAGCTGAAAGCAAATATCCGACGCCAAGTGGCGATGTCAAAAGACCCCTTGCCACGCCAAGCCGAGGAAGAAGTCAGTTAGCGCATCTGGGTCCAGTTGTTGGCGATGCCCGAGAAAGTTACTTTGGATGCGGTCGCCCGAACGAGAGGAGGAGTGACGCCAAACCGCGCCACAGCCAACTTGACGAGGCAGGCCAGACGCGCAAGTTGCTGCCAAGAGGTGACAAATATGTGACCTGGAAGCTGCTTGAGCCATGTTTCTCTGGCCCGGAACCAGTCGACACACGTAACGTCTGCCCTTGCTCCGCGCGGCATTAAGGCCCTGTGTGGATAAGGCATGCAATCCGACTGGCGGCGTACAGCTGAATAGTCGAATCCATGCGACGGCACAGGAGGACAGGACTGTCTGGTCATCACCAAGCCACTTGCCAACAGCGATGATGAAGACGCGGCGATCAAGTTCGGCTCAGTGAACATTTTGGCATGCGACGGTCGACCAACATCCTCCTGTGCTCCTGTGTGTTGCTCCTCTCCACTCTCTTCGACCTCGTCTCTGGTGTTCGACCTGAGTGAGCACCTCAAACCCCAGCGATAGAGTCCCTATACAACAACGTTGAGCTCAGGTAACAATTTTCGACATTAATAGCCACGGATCGTCTTATTCACAATAGGCATGCCTCGGTCACTCGTCATCATTAAAGATTTATCAACTTAATCTGAAATTGGTCTTTTTTCAGGTTATGAAGTCAAAGGAGTTTTCTTGGCTGGTCACATGATTTAGTACTTTACATTTTGACTTGTTCACTTCACAACAACCTCGGTCTGGGTTCGACTTACAAGATTTTGCCAATGATTTCCGTATAGTCCACTCCACTGCAAATATCCCCTGAGACTTTTATTTCCTTAACGTCGGTGCTCTGATGTCAGCCACTGTCTGGAATTGTCTTCACAATGAACCGACTTCGTTTTAAAGTTTACAGACGCACTATTTATGCCAAATAAATCTGAGACTCCTTGGCAGCAAGTATAGATACTTGGGAAGTCCAGAAGAGCATATTTCGGAGAGTCCGATTCTTGGAAGTATTACCTAACACATTAATTTCATCCTCTGAATTGCTTATGTTTCTCCATTCAAAGGTCCCCTATTTGTGAGGCCTCCTGGCCTCTCCCCAACCTCAGTCTGTCCCGACATTTTATACGTGTTCTGCATGTTCTGAGCTCATGATGGAAAAAATCGCTGGGCTCGTGTGGGCTGTTTCGTTCGATTGCCTATTTTATCGTATTCTAAGTAAACACGCGATTGTTTGACCTCACTTAAAAGCAGTAAACCCAGCTTCTTACATCCCCCTTTGGGGATACACACTGAACTTCCATCGATTTATTTGCGGTAGTCTTAGTCTCCCGCCGGGTGGAACTTTAGTCTTATACCTCCTGATCCACATCGGCGTTCCGTGGTTTCGAGATTCTACATTCTGCGTAATGTTCAGTTAGCGGGCGATATAGAGTGGAGTCGGCTGATATGGACCCGTAAAACAAACTATTCTTGCTGGTTTTTTGACTGAAGATTCTGTGCACTTTGATGGCCTCAAAAGATGAAGGCTTTCTGTCCGTAAAGTCTACGTCACTCCTGCGCAAATGCACAGAAAGTTAGCTACGCTGACAACATGGACGTGCTTTCAATGGGCTGTCCTCAGATGCAGGCCAAGTCTTTCAGGGATGCTCACGTTGCAAGGGGGGAGACGTTGCGAATGCTAGACGACAATAGACTGGGGGAGGTCAGTAAAGTCTGTTCAAAATGCTTTTGAAGAAATAAAAAATACTCGAAAATATACACGGCAGACTGACAGCCCACGAAACTAGAGGGCTTAAGGCTGCGCTTTAGTCCCGAGTTGACATAAATCGCTGATGAAACCTGCCGCCCTAAAGTACAAATTGGCTTTTCAAAACAAAGAGCTAGGTATTTCAGTACACCAGGTGCCACTTACATGGTATCGCAATTTCATATCGGTCGGGATCGGCTTCAATCAGCATATCACGCAGCGTTTGCCGACCAACGCCCGTTGCTCCGATCAGGCATATGACTGGCCGTTGAAAACCGGAAATCAAGGCCACCTCCTCATATACCATGATATCTTTGAATGCAAACTCACCGGCCTCACTGGCTTTGAATATTACTTTGGTCTGTGAAAGTAAGATGTAAAATTAATAACTACCTAGATAGAATAGATTTTTGGTTTACTAAAAAAGACCCTGTCAAGCTACAAATATTCACTAAATTATGCAATTTGGTATGACACCTGGCCTTCTGGCTGGTACCTATGCCAACAGGCGCTGGAAGTATTTTCAGCTTACAAGCAGAGGTCAGTTAACTTCATTCACAGCAGTAGGTAACAGAACAGCGCAGTAAAATAAAAGGAGTCCGAATGACATGGTTGCCCATCGTCCCCCTTTAACCCACCTTCTTTTTCTTCTGGTTCAGCACAAGACCCTTGAAAAGCCTATAGTTGAAGGTGTTTTCATTAGGCAGGCCCTGAATAAGCGCCTTGCGACGTTCCTGAAGAACGGCTGAAGGTATCAGGCCAGCGTGTCTGTCAGAGTTGTAGTGGCGAGCCTAGGGGACATAAAGATGCGCACAGGCATTACAGCGTTGGTATGAAATGAAAAACGATTGCATGTATATGAAGGTGGGATAAACACACCTGCCACCAATTAGGATCATCCTGGTTCAGAATTTCCAATACGTCATAGTACTGAAATGCCAGTCCGGCCTCCCTACAGGGGAGAAGGCTGTCTGATTCGGGGCTGTAAGAGCATAGGGCGCGAACAAAAAGCTGAAAATGGAGGCGAATGAACTGCTGAGAGATGCCAAAAACAGTCTATTCAAACAATCTACATGCACAATATATAAATATATATAATAATACAAAAACATCTAATGTCAATAATATATTATAATGTGTACTATATGTATCTTTTGCATGTATATACGTATGTACATTATGTATTATATAAAATATAAAGTAATGTAATATACTGCGATACGCGCACCTGCGATTTGGGTTTCGGCTCCTTGTAAGCGGGAAGTATCTTCATTGTCACGGTGCTGGGCGATTTAGTTATCTGTTCTTGAAGAGTTTCTGGACTGTCTATAGGGACCCCATTGACCTCGCGGATGATGTCACCTTCATGGAGCAGACCTTGTCGCTCAATTTGAGAGCCTGCCATAACTCGCTTCACGTAGACTTCACGAATGTAACCTGAGTTGGCTGACTCGTAGTCCTGAACGCCGACTGTTATGCCCTAAAAAGTCGGTTGGCTAAGTCAGCTAATTTCCAAAGTCAGACAAACGTGAAAGTTATATCTTTGGGACTAAGGCTACAGAAGAGGACTTCTAAGTAAATATCTCATACATCGATTTCCGAAAGGTCCTATAAAGTGTCCTATGTCAACACTTTTGCATAGAATGCGCGCACTCGGTATCAGAGGAATGCCCCTGAACTGAACAAAGACATTCTTAGCTGATAGTCCACTTTCGAAAATGGGAAAAATAAGAAAACAGCCTGTATCTTTACACTGAGCGCTGAAATTACGGTTAACTCGAAAGCACTGGCGGCATCGACAGAGGCAAAAACGGGCATGGAAAGAAGAACCTAAAGAGAATTTAGTGTTTAGTAAATTGCATATTGTACTCACAGTCAGTGACGGAAAGTTTTGTGTCCGGTGTATGTAGGCCACTGTACAATCGTTTGCCTGCCGGTTGAGTGATCTCATCAGTTTCGTTTAAAACCGACGCCGGGTGCTGGACGGATCATCGTCTCGGCGTCCCAAGATGAGGCCCCATCTGCAACCCCGCAGTAGAGCCCACAAGGTAAGCGACCACCAGGTAAGTTAGATATTGTTCTTTTGAATTTGCCTGCTAAGCGTTTACATTTCAGCGAACAATTAGCCCAGCACCTGGAAGAACTGCCGGCCCCGGAAGAGGGCGTCATCGTGGAGCCACTGTGGAACGCATTCACTCGACTGTCTTGAATGTCCTCAAATGCACAAGTCGTCAGCACCAGGACTGGTTCGACAACAATGACGCAGACACCAGCACTTTTTAGCTGGAAAGCACAGGCTACGAAAGCCATCGGACCAGCTTCAACAAACCAGCCTACCTCCCCTATCGCCGCCTCGCGCAGCAGCAACCGATGGAGATGGAGGACAACCGAATGACTCGCAAGACCGAGGAAATCAGGAGTATGCCGACCGCAATTACACGAAGAACTTCTTCCTACTACTCAAGGTGGTCTACGGTCCCCCAACAAAAGGAACCGCGCCGCTTCTCAACTCCGATGGAATAAAACTTCTAAAGGAGAAAGCATAGATTCTGAAACGCTGTGCAGAATACATCAGAAGCGCCCTCAATCGCCTACTTACAATCTCCAACGCCGCCATTAAGTGACTTCCTCAAGTGGAAACGAACAACGACCTGGATCTTCCGCCTTTTCTCCTAGAAACAATCCCAGCCCTGCACTAACTCTCTAGCGAGAAAGTGCCAAAATCCAGTGTGATTCCGGCCGAAGTTTAAAAGCACGGTGTTCCCCGCTGATAGATCAACTCATAACGCTGTTTTAGGAGATGTGGCTCCGAGGAAAATTTCCTCACGACTCTACGGATGCGACAATCGTCCGTCTCTATAAGTGGAAAAGGGACCGACTGCTTAAAATCGTCGTTAACATCTTCACTTACATCCTCTTCAACCGTCTAAACGACCATCTCGAACAAGAACTTTTCCTGAAAAGCCAGTGTGGTTTCTGACGTCACCGCGGAACCATCTACATCATCTTTGCCGCCCGATTCAGTACTAATGGTCAGCATCCCCGTACCTCGCAGGAATTGATCACGGCCATCTCCATCATCCTTGCCACAGCCCCTGCGGTGACTACGAGGATGATCACCACACGCCCCATTCCCCCCAGGGAAAAAACGCTCTCGACGACCCGCTAACCACGAACCTCGCGATTGCCATCCCCCGCATTCAGCGATGTGGATTCGGTCCTCGCCTGTTCTCATTGCAACCGCACATTCACTCCACGCATCGGTCTGGTCACATTGTCGCCGTGTGTTCATCTCACGCATTGGCCTGGTCGGTCAATTCAGAATGCATCGTACAGAGACTGGCAAACTGGTGCCTGGAGTATTAACAAACACTAGACGCCATTGCCTTGATTTCCAGAACCACAGCCGCACATTTAGCCGTCTCATGGGCCTATTCGATTACATGCGCATTCATGAAAACTTGCGTAAATCACCGCGGACATTACCACATCACCACACTCTTCCACATCAATACATGCGCCACGCACACACACCCCACATCACCAGCAAAACACGCGTAGGTGGTAAGTGTGCTTTTCAGGTCCCTTCTCAAGGTGGCTCCTCCGCTACACGTGTGCATTTGGGGGGGGGACAGGTCGTGCATGTGGTACGCACAGATGAGCTTTCTAGCTCTTTCAGTCACTGACAAGCTTGAATCTATCACCTCCCTTTTTTATTGTTGTATGTGAAATTCTGACCAGTGTACGTTGTGGATTAGGGGGTTTAGTGGCACGCCTAGGCGCGGGTTTTCGCCGTATCAGTTACTTGTATTCTCTCCCGCCTCCAGTCTTTTTGATTCTGCCATTGCACGCATCCATGTGAGGAATGAGGAGAGAGTGCGGTAGATGCTGTACAAGTCTACTATCAATTCAAACTGGCGTACGCGCAAGTCACCTTCACGGTGCTCACCCTCCTACGGCACACACGGTGGACATCGTCGTCCACGACGGTCGTGTCCTCAGTCGGAAGTGAGGAACTAGCGTGTTGTGACACACGTAGACCAAACCGGCTACTGCTCCCTGCCCGTCATCCCCAACAGCCTAAAAAATTCTGCGAAGACGGTGACAGGTAGGCGGTCCAGGCTAATACGAATCTCTCAGTTGTAGATGAAGTAGTGGACGCACTCTACTTACCACAATTCCAAAGCCCAGTCCCGTTTAGGAGAAAGGGACAGGCGTCAGTCCTAGCCACGAACCGCTAACAATACTTGGAAAGTTGCCAATTGGCAGGACTGAGGAATAACTCCTCCTTCATGTGGCCTTTATGGTCATTGTTTTTGAAAGGAGAACCGGAGCACCCGAAGTTAGGTTGCGTGGGACGTGAATAGATAGGCACTGTGTCGGTCACTGTGTCCACCCCCCAGACTTTGTATTGCCTAGGAAATATGGCGTGTAAGAGGAGAATAAGATTGATGCAGTTCAAGTCTGTTTCACTCTAGACGAGTTCACAGCTGCATCCTCGGAACAATCCTGGTTCTCATCGCCTCCGATAGACAAACTTTAATTTTTTAGCCCTAAACCCTTCCATTAATCCAACTAGGAGGTGGTGATTCACGCAAACAAGGAGGCGAATCTTCGCATTTCGAGTATCTTTGGAAGCGAACCCGGATGTTCGACTGTTGTGATAACGGGATTATTGTTTAGAGTCAGATTGATAGAATGCATTGAATACAGGATTTGTCTAAGTCAAACACCTGTTATTGAGGCCAAATCTTGTGTGGACCAGTTTGTTCTGTGGTCCAGTTTTTGAAAAATATATCCTTAACAAGTGGGACGGGATGTTTGGAAAAGCCATCTACCCGAAGAGGTGCAATAGTTGGCTGAACTTTGAAATGACGACATCGACTATATTGATTATATTCTTGTCATAACTGGTCACAATTGGGTCGAGTGCTGTGGAAAACCGATGAATTTAACCACTCTGAATGTGTGATCCGTGGTGGGAGAGGATCGACTTCCCCGCCTGCATGCCTTCATCCGCCACCAGGCCGACAGATTGACTGGTAACAACGGTGTATAACAAACCTATAAATACAGTATACATTCCAAGTTTCCACAACAGCCGACAGTGTAAATGTCGTTGCCGACGGTGTCCACCACGTGCTCTACAATAAAATAAGAGCACGGGCGGTGACTTGCGCGCTAGTTAATGGTGATTGTAGACTTGCGCTACATATACCTCACTCTATCCTCTTCCACAACCTGGATCCGGTATCAAGACATATTCAAGAATATCAAAGGCGAGAGGGGACGCAGGTGGCTGCCACTGTGAAAACCCAAACTCAGACGTACCACTACACCTTCTGGTCCACAAGAGGCACTTACCAGGGTTTTACACAAGAGAAAAAGAGGCAACACGGATTCCAATTAGCAAGGCGTGCGCCTGCAGCTAGGCCTGTCTTCACACCCCCAATGTTGGCATTTGTTATGGGTGCACATTCGCGACAACACCTGTCGCATTCTGATCTAGCTCTTGCGTTGCTCAGCGCATCTACCATATGGCCATTTTAGGGGGCAAGGGGGCCAACATAAGCATACACACAGGACAGGTCATCCGTCGTTTCGACAATGAATCCTGCTGCATCTACCGCACTCTGTTCTCATTCCTCAAATAGATCCATCCCAAGACAGAATCAAAAAGACCGGAGGCGAGAGAGCATACAGGTAGCTGATACGGCAAAAACCCGCACATAGACGTACCACCAAACCGCCTAATCCACATCGTACACTAACCAGACTTTTGTATGCAACAAGAAAAAAAGTGGTGTCCCAGATTCCACTAGGCAGGAGTGTCATAGAGGCCACATTAGGAAGGAGCTATTTTAACCTGACTCGCAGTCCACCAGTCCGCCACTCTTCACAAACACACACTGGGCCGACTGCGAGGTCCGGATTATCCCGTCTGTTGGCACCCTTCCAAGACACGGCTTTTAGCCCATCGTGATAGACCCAAGCGTGTCAGATTACTTTTAGGGAGGAATATGCGCTGAGACTGTCGACCTCACTTCCGCCTCCCACTCTCAGGCACTAGTCCACCGTCTGATGCCGGAAGTAGACGCAGAGCTAGAAATCTCGTCTGCGCGCACCACATGCACGACCTGCTCCCTTCCCCCAAATGCACACACCGGGACCATATATACAAGAGCCGAAACACACGCACACACAACGGTCCGACCGTTGTGACTGACTGTGTGTTACACAGCAGCGCGAGAGTAGGAATGGTGACTTGCGCGTGGTTCTTGTTATAGTTCCACTAGAATTGCGCTGCACCTACTGCCCTTCCTCTTCTTCCTCCATCTTGAGCCGGCGTCAAGGCAGAGTCAAGAAGACCAGAGACGAGAGATGACAGAGGTAGCTGCCACGAAAAAAACCTGCACCTTTAAATGCTACCAAACCTCTGTTCAGCAATGTACACAGACCAGAATTTTATACAAGAAATGCAGGAGGGCTTGGATCCCGATTGGCACGGCATGGGCTTGCACCCGTTCGCGCTGCCACATCCCAAATATCAGCATTTATTATGGGCGCGCTTTCCGGATTCATTTAAGAAAAATCTCTAATTTTAAAATTAAAACTAGTCGATTTTTCTACTTATGAGACAAACAGATGAGAAAAAACTAATGATATTTAAGTGAGATCTTTCCCTAAAGACATTCGTTTCCATTTAGCACTCGCTGTTTGTGCTTGACCCCAAACCTTTGCCCTCGGTCTGGAAAAAGGTGACACCGTCAGTCATCCGTGTTATCGTTCGGCCACATCTGGAGACGTTTAACGTGGACAATAAATCGGACCAGCTGACCACTATAATATTCAGCCTCTAGTCGGACATGCGAGTCCTGCGGAAACAGTCGGATTCCAAACGGCAAACATTGACATTTCTTCACACGGTAAGATCCGCCGCCATAGGTCGCCACCTGTGACATCATCGCAGCCGGCTAAATGAGACACGATCACGTCCTTACAAAATTCAATTAAGCATATAGTAGGATCCTCGATGGCTGTGTTAAAAAGCACAACATGACGACTTACCATGGCGCTAATCATACAGGTTTAAAGACAGGACAAATCGTTAAGGCACTGCAGTACGACATCTTTTGGAAAGGGTCGAAGTATTTTAATGGCTTCCACTTTCAAATCGCAACACTCCAAAGTCTGAATTTAGTACCACACTTTCCGTTTAGAGCACAGTAGCAATAATCAATTGCCATCACTTCTCTCGATTCAGTTCACGTAATGTCTGGAGATATAAGCTTAAACAAATTCCACGTACGAGACTCAAAGGTGCCTATTCCGCAATGTTAAGAATATTTGCGCTGTCTATGTTGTCGTAGAAACGAATATGCTTGTACTGAAAAACACGTTGATGCTTAATTTGTGTGCGTTGATTGTGGCATAAAAATGTAAAACAAGATACTAGTTAAACGTCATTTGTGAATAAATGCACTCACTAGACTCCCACTCGCTAAAACGAAGCTGATAATCTTGACGGTGCCCTCAACTGGTTTCATGGGCAGTCCTTCACCTCCACCCGTCAGTATAGCAAGGCCATTAAGCCCAGGAGTCGAGCCCAAGCTGTTTCCACTGGCTGTCTTCAGCTGGTTTACGGAAGCGTAGGTACGGGGGGAATATAGCTTCTCGTTGGTGCCAATGACGGAAGCGGATATTGGTGGAAGACTGTTCAGAGTCCCCAATTTGGCAATACCAGTGGGACCCAAACCTTCTACAGCAAACAGGCCCGAAGACGGCAACGAGGGACTGTAGAAATTACCACTTGCGATCTCACTTAGACATTTGGCTAGTGCTCGCAGATGGGGGTTGCGTAAAATTCCAAGAAGCTCGTTACAGCTTTCTGCGTCTTCTTCATTATAGACTGTAAGCATCTGGAGGTCGTTGTCGATATCAGAAATTAACCCGAGTACATCCTGGTCCTCTTCATCGGCATAAAAGTCGCTTGCCGCCTCCAGGCTTGAATAAAGCTGAAAGAGTCCATTTTAAAACACTTATAATTTGGGGATTCAGTTTTTGGTTTACCGAGTTACTATGTCAATATTTTCTAGTTTAACAAGCGATGGTAGCGCTGAAAGTGTGGTTAGTGAAAAGAGCGTTTAACTAATGTTATATCGAAAACGTCCTGGTGGGCATACGTTGGTATGGGCAAATGTGTACTTCTTCAAATCCACAATCTGATTGGTATAAAAAAGTAGTGCCCATTGTCTAACGACAATCAAAGCTTAAGACCAACTAAATAGACCAAGAAGCCCGTTATCGCCTCTCCAATCTTCTCTTTTCATAGGCGTCAGGTCCTCAGACTTCCTATATTTCAGTCTTTTGCAAGTTTATTTGTGATATTTCATTTTCTCGCCCATAAACGAAGGGGTGGGAAGCGCACTCGAGTTTTGCAGTCTAGCTGATCGTCCACGTTAGTTTCTTCTAGTTGGAATACCTCCTTATTAACTTTACGCTGTATTTTGCGTTTTGTCATCTAGATGAGCAACTCCTATTAAAATCGTTTGATCACTTAAGTGATCCGGTCAAATTCATTAAAAACGTCGGCTCAACTACGTCCCCACGCAGCGTTACACTGCAAAAAGTTGCAAACCTCTTGTCTGATATATTAAGATCACTTACGGAAATTAACTCTTTGAACGGTTTTGATGATAAAAATGAATAGAGGTCCTGACATTCATTAACATCCTCTGGCGCATTAAAAACACGCCTTATATTTTTCTTCGCCTTACGCAGAGCATCTGAAGCGTGATATTTATGTTGAAAATGAATACCCTTGGCCGAAACCATAACTCCCACCACAGAACTGCACCCGTCATGCAGCAGGCACAAGACTTCTGGCTTGGCTTTTCGAAACGCCTCTATTTATATCTATCTAAACCTGCAGTTTGAACAAAGTGCGCGGGTTCAAAGGTCTAAGTTTTAGAAATACGTGAAATCAACTTGCGGCTCCGTCGACTTTTGAACACCAAATGCGCCTTTAGCAGTACTGTATACTAAGTTTTAACCAAGCTAGCCGACCTTTAGTGCAAAAACACTTTTCTTGGCGGTGTATAATAATTTGAACTCGTTTCAGTGTGTCTTTTTACATCGGACCAATTTTCATTCTTCATGCAATATATTTGTAAGATCACCCACAAAGTTCAATTTTTATGTTCACCAGGGAGTTTTCCACAACCTCCTTGATTGGACACTCCAGTTAGCTATATAAAGTTTGCTGAGGAGCACGCTCCTTTGTAAAATTGTACTTTCCACTGATTTACAAGTACCCATTAGTGCTCAAGACTAAATCGGGATGTCATATTTTAACGGCGGACTCCTTAATAACAGAGGTTTTAACCGAAATAATTTACGGGCATATCAAATCCAAGTCATGCGCAGAAGCCACAGGCACACGCAAAAATAGACCTGGGAATGCGGTGACGGGAAAAGCGGTCATCGACAACAAGTCAACAAAGAAGGCGAAGGCAGTAAACACTTAAAACTCAGGAATGGTGGATAAGCGTACTAAAGTGGGGCAAACAGAGCAGCGTTGGAGCATTCATCAAAGAAGATTGCAAACGCAGAAGACTTCGAATGTAACACAAGTAGAGGCCAAAACATTTTTCTTAAACTAAGGAAAAGGTACATAAAAAGCTTATGAGAAACCAGGAAAACAGATGGCAGAATGGTGGCCTCTACATAGACGCAGACAAACTGGGAAAATTATACAGCTTTCTTTATTGTTTTTCAGTTTATTCAAGAGATACGCCGTTCTATACGAATCTATGATTTCGTAGATGAAAATGTGTACCCTTTCCCAAGTAACGGAAATATCCAGGTCAGAGCTAACCAGATGTCCATGTGCCTGTAAATTCCCTGACGCTTAATATTTCGGGACGCAGGGATCTGAGTAAGCGAGCTTCAGTTCAGGTCCACAGATGTCGCTACAGGGGAACACCTTTTAAGGGATTTGTGAGGATAATACATCAAGCATTATCTTCGAATGCTCAACAGGACATCAGCAGACGAACAGTCTTACTTAAAATATTTGCAATTAGGGAAATAATTAGGTCGGATGAAGAGAAATGTGAACGGCGATTCTGGAAGTAAACAAACCCGACAGCGTGGTGAATGTGGCAAAAACAGGCATATGACAGTCAGAAGGATGTAGGAGCACTTAGCGCTCTCTATTCTTAGATTGACTTGAGGCGTTTCTAGCCGACTTTTATAGACACCCCTATCCGTTGGTCGAATATACGCTCTTGAAGTCGCGCGCTTGCTGTGGAGTCTAGCAGCTTTCCAAAGTGTCCTGAAAGGCTTTTCGTGGGATTTCGTTTAGAAAATAGTTCATATCCCTTACTGTATATGCAACTGGCTACTTCCTATGACTCCACAAAGTTTTGCACTTCTCAATTGTCCATAGCGTGAAAGGTGCTATCTTACTTAGCAATTCATTGGGTCCAGTTATGATTTAACCGTGCAGTTTGTTGCCTAGTCTTGAAAATTCTCCTAATCCTCCTTGCCACTCAAAGGCATAGAGGGCACTGCTACTAACTATTATACTAGGCCGTTGAGATTTGAATCTTAACACTTTGCAGGAGGTCACCAACTCAAATCAGTCAACGAGTTAAGGGACCTTGGTGTGTGGATGACGTCAACTCTGAAAACCATCGTCTCACAGCTCCAAGGTACCAGAGAGGGCCATGGGCATCCTAGGCGCCATTAGAAGATCCATTCTCAATTTTTACATTTTCGATCAATGTTGGAATATTGCGTTCAGGCATGGTGTCCTTGGACGAA